ATCCACTGCACCACCTAGCTGCCCCCTCCATAGTCCTTTTTATGGATGTGGACAGCATTCTCCATCATGAGTCCTTTGGAGTTGTCTTGCATTGCTAAGAAGAGATGAGTCTGCCAAAGTAAGTCATCGAACATTGTGGCTGTTTTGTGTTCAATATTCTCTTGGTTCTGCTCACTTGACTCAGCATCAGTTCATGTAAGTAAAAGTTGTGTTTTTTTTTAAGAGCAATTGAAAGAGACTAAATGGTGATGGAATGATTCATCATAATAAGAAAGAAGAGACAAATTTCACTTCAGAATCCCATTATTTTCAAGGGTTATACAGATAGTAATAACAAATACAGGTTCTGGAGAAGGTGGAGTAGACTTGTTCAATTTTGCTGGTTTTAAAGGACAAAAGAAAAGGGATTGAGAAAGGAAGACATACTTCAGACAAACAAGGAAAAGAGGAAAGAACCTTACTTATTTCTCATAATCAGGGTATGACAGAAGAAGAGTTTACAGACATAGAAGAGGACAAGGGGGAGGGAAAGAATAGGTCACGAACTTTGCTCTGAACTGGGCCAAGGAAAGTTGAATACACACATTCTCACATGTTGAAATACATTAAATTCGACAGCGAAAGAGATGGGGACATTAAGAAGAGAGAATGGGCATTAAAAAGGAAAAGTAGAGTTGGGGAAAGAATAGTCACAAACAAAATAAATTTCAACCTGAGAGGAAGAATCATAAGGGAGGGGAATAAAAGAAGAGAAATCAGAATTTGAGCTGGATGATGAAAAGTAGGAGAGAGAAGTGGAATCAGACCACATCAATTATAGATTATCAATGCTGATTTCACTTCTTTTTTTTCACTACTTCTTTCTTGTGAAGGGGGCAGTGGGTGTCAAAGGAGCAAAAAGTATGAAAGGACAGCCAATGTGTGACTTTATTTACTTGATGAAATTCATGTATTATGAACATAGATGAGCAAACTGAGGCCCAGAGAAGTTAAGAAGCTCATTTCTTTGCTCTGCTCCTGACCCTCCGGACTTCTAAATATCCCTGAAGCCTTTTGACCCTGGAAGATGCTTCTACTCCTACATTTGGTGAGTTCTTCCCAGAACCTCCATTTTGAGGCAATACCCAGGTTGTCACTCTCACATCTTCATTCTGCTCCAGACTCTCTGGACTTGTCCACCATGCCTCCACATGGGTACTTTCTCCTTTTCCTCCACTTTTTAGCTCCCTTTTATGTTCTATCTTCCCCCCATTAGAATGTAAATTCCTTGAGAGCATGGACTATTCTTTTTGCTTATTTTTTTGTGGCAAGTCAATTCTTTTATTAATTTATTTAAATTAATTTTTTTCAATCAATAAAATCTGCCTTCTCTCCCTACCATCTCCTCCCTCATTGAGAAATGAAAAAAAAAAAACAACAACCCACTATTACAAACATGTATAGTCAAGCAAAACAAATTCTCCCATTGTCCATGTCCAAAGGAAGGTCTCCATCTGTACTTTGAGTCCATCATTCTGTGAAGAGGTGGGTAGCATGTTTTACCATGAGTGCTCTAGAATCATGGTTGACCATTGTGTTGATCAGAGTTCTAAAGTCTAAAGTTGTTTGTCTTTGCAATATTGTTGTTATTGCATATTTGTTACTATTTATATAGTATGTTATTATTGTACTGTTTTCATGTATTTACTCACTTCACTTTGCATCAGTTTATATAAGTCTTCCCAGGTTTCTCTGAAACTGTTCCTTTTATTGTTTTTACACCACTGTAGTATTCCATCATATTCATATTCATAATTTGTTGAGGCCAATTGCTAGATAACTCCTTAGTTTCTAGTTCCTTGTCACCATAAAAAGCTGTTATCAATGTATTTGTACTTGTGGGTCCTTTTCCTTTCTCTCTCTCTCTGTCTCTCTTTCTTTGTGTCTCTCTCTTTGTGTCTCTCTCTCTCTTTCTCTGTGTGTGTCTCTGTCTCTCTGTCTCTCTGTCTCTGTCTCTCTCATTCTGTCTTGCTTGTATTCATATTTGCAGCATTTAGTACAGTACTTGGCACATAGTAAGCACTTAATAAATAAATGTTTGTTCACTTGACTTGGGGTAGAAAACTGTGTACATGAGGAGATGGGGAGAAGGTAATGGAGATGAAAATAAAAGAAGGAAGAACATCAATGAAATAGTCTAAAATGTATAGAAGATGGAATAAGTAGATTGATAAGTGGGGCAGTGTTGGTATTATGTAAATTTTAATACATACTTTAAAATAGGTTGTACATAATAGAGATTTATGGTTTCATAACCAATTCTCTTTCTCTGTTCTTTGAATCTGAAAATGTTCATGTTTGTTGATGTCTAAGTCTTCCATTTTTTTTAAAAGAAAAATTTAAAAGGTAGACTTACATGCCTACTCTTTTCTAGCTAACTGGCTAGGTGTGGCTGACTGAGGTCTATATTAAAAAGAGCCCAAATAATCCTGTGGCTATGAACTGATAGCTGAACAGGCCCCTCCCCCCATGGTGAAAGAGGCTAATTATTAGTCATGGGATAGCAGAAGGCATCAGAGAGCAGTTCAATAGGACATCTCTCCTCAATGGAGAGATCCTCTCTCAGGCAAATGACATCACCAGAAGACATCAGCAAGTAAGAGGGAAATCATTTTAGGAGAATAAGTTGTTCTAACTATGCATCTCCCAGCCACAGATGTTTTCTGTGGATGTGTGGCCTCTCCTCCACTGATGACGTGGTGACTTGTGAGAAAGTATACCACAAGCTATTGGGGTGGGGTGGAGGAAAAGATGTTTCTCATCTCATCTCATCTCATCTCATCTCATCTCATCTCATCTCATCTCATCTCATCTCATCTCATCTCATCTCATCTCATCTCATCTCATCATTATGCAGTTAAATTAAATGCCTTTTTTTTTAAACTAAGACATCTTCTGGTTAGATAGCAGCAGGAACATGTTGGTGGAAGCTTGGAACAAATAGTTTTGAGTGTATGTGAATCTATAATATGCCTCAAACCTGGGCAGCCCACATGTGACAGGAATCCTGGGTGCTACATGAGCCCATGGCCTTAGTGGATATCTGTGCCTAAGTCAGTTCCTTCAGCTGTTTCTGTTTTTAATCATCATGTCCCGTCAATTCAATAGGTCTTTACCCACTATATACAAAGCTTCTGAACCCAAAGAATCTTTAAAAAGTCCAAGTATTTTTGCTATGACACCCATGGCATTACCAGGGGCAGCTCTGGTTGTGGAGCTGGGTAAGGGCAATGTCATTCATCATCACCACATGAATGAATCGTGTATAAGGCAGAAACTATCTAAATATGAGTAAATGTACAAATATTTGTAGAGAATGTCTCCAAGCTTAGGTCTTTGCCACCATGGTGTCTGCCTTCCTTTGATATTTTCCTATTTTGAGGATTTATTTCTATGTGGGAATTTCTTTACACGTTAGGGCCATTCTGGAGAGTTAAACAATTTCCCAACTCAATAAATCAGAACAAAGGAAAACCCTGTGATGTGTTCATAGCAAATAATTAAGCTCCACTATGGGTAAAGTGTGAGCTTACATTCAACTCTCCTCCCAACCATGGGCTTTTACTTCCTGGAGACTGTTTACAAAGTAACTTGAGAAAGAAAGGAAAAAAAAAACTTTTAAAATACCATCAAGATCAATCACCAAGGTGCTCAGAGCAACAATGTTGTGTTGTAGATGGAGTCGGGGAATTATTCTCTGCTGTATACAGTTAAACTGGTACCAGAGAGAACGTAAAGCTAAATTAAAATCCTAGACTGAGGCATAGATGAGACATTAGGAAGTAACTTTGTCCAAATTTATTAGGGATTGATTCAAAACAAGAGAAGAACTACACATTGTGAATAAACAAGTAAACAGCAATGCAATTGGTTGAGTGGGATGATCGACGAGAGTGAGAAAGAATGTCTAATACAATGAGGTCCTGGAGGAGACAAGAGGAGCTCAGATTAAGGACACAAACGGAAGGGATAAGCCTTTGGATAGAAGTAAGCTTATCTTCACAAGTTCAAATCCGGCGTCAGACACTTACTGGCTGTGTGACTCTAGGCAAGTCACTCTAACCCTATTTGCCTCAGTTTCCTCATCTGTAAAATGAGCTGGAGAAGGAAATGGCAAACCTCTCCGGTATCTTTGCCAAGAAAACCCCAAAGTGGGGTAAAAAAGGATTGAACTTGACTGGAATGACCAAGCAACAGCAAAAACCACCTCATCCTCTGAGAGGAGAACTGGTGATGAATATCACGTTTCCAAAGCATCTTCAAGTTCTGGTCCCTTTGTTGCCATCAGGATATCCTGGATTCTCTGACAGTGTCTGCAGGGCTGCCTGCTGGAGCTGGGTGTCTGCTCAATCATCCACGATGTCATCAGTGAAACTTCTTCTGTTAGATTCTGCAGTTTGGTGACTCGACCTGACTAAATCAAAATTATTCTCTCACAGCCAGGAGGCTGTGAGTTCCTCACATAGAGAGATGTCCTTTACTCAACCGTGTAATATCAATGAATTTTGGCCTGTGAGGACCTGAATTTGAATCCTGGCTCAGCTGCTGGTACCAAATGGAATCATTTAATCTCTCTGGGCCTCAGTTTTTTCATCTGTAAAATGAAAGGCTCAAACTAGATTGGCCTCTTAGGTCTCTTCCAGATGTACATCCTATGTTGCACTCAGCCAAATAAACTGCCTGTCCTCCACCTACTTCCCTTCTGGGACAATTTGTCACTACCAGCTGGTACCTCCCTGCAATCACATTGCCAACAAGTCCTAGAATCTGTTTCTATACCTGACATTCTTTCTCATGAGCCCCACCCTCTGACTGGTGACTAACTGAGTCTCCCAGACATATACTTGGAACCCATTCTTCATTTGAAATAATGTTTTTATTATAAACTTAATAGCCACTAAAAGGAAAATCTCACCAATAGACACAATAAAAATGTCATACAAAAAAAAAAAACTCCTCTAAGCTCTAAACTATAGTTTGTTAGAAGGGACAAAAAAAGCACATGTACATAAAACGTGTAAGAAAAATAATTCTATCTTTTGCTTTAGTGTTTTGCTCTAATCTTATCCTTCTCAAATTTTGGTACTGTTTTTGCTTTGCTACTTTGGATTGATCTGGGATTTCCTCAATGTGGATATTCTCACCACCGTTGCAAATTGCAACTGATTCCTGCCTTTTCATCCTGATTAACTTGTCTGTGAAATCTCATAAATCCACGGCCACAGGGGATCCACCCGGCTTATGTGGAGAGGGGGGCTGTAGAAGGAGGGGATGAGTTTCTCCAAATGTCTTGAGATTGCACTGATACCAATGAAACACAATGGGGTGTCTTTGGGTTGTCCAGAAGCTCACTCTTGGACTGCCCCACCTCCTTTTCCAGTTACACATTTGTCTGATGACATCCTTACACAATCTTCATCTGTAATGTGTTGCAGCCTGTTCACATCCACCATGTGCCTTTATGTTGTCCTTTGTGTGACCTTCAACTTTAATTCATCAGCATCTGTGGCATTCTGTGACTCAGAGCATAGGAGCATAAGATTAGAACTAGAAGGGACCTTTGAGGTCATTGAGTCCAACCTCCTCTTTTGCATAAATGAGGAAACTGAGTCTTGGAGAAAACTTGCCTCTTATTACCCAGGAGCAACTAGGTGATGGAGGGGCTAGTATTGGTCTGAGAGTTAGGAAGACCTGATTTTAAATCCTGTCTCAGACACTTTTGAGCTACGTGGCCCTGGGCAAATCACTTCATCTCTCCCAGCCCCAGTTTCCTCACTTGTGAAGTGAGGATAATAATCAAACCTACCTCACAGGGTTGTTGTGAGGATAAAATAATATATCTTCTGAAAAGCACTTTGCAAAACTTAAAGCAAAACTTAAAGCACTATACAAATACTTTGTTGTTGTTTAGTTGTTCTTCAGCTGTGTCCAACTCTTTTTGTTTTTTTTTTTTGTAGGATTTTCTTGGCAAAAATACTGGAGTGGTTTGCCATTTCCTCCTTCAACTCATTTGACGGATGAGGATACTGAGGCAAGCATAGTTAAGGGACTTGCCCAGGGTCATATAGCTAGTAAGTGTCTGAGGCTGGATTTGAAGTCAGGCCTCCTTGACTCCAGGCCTGCTCTATCCACTGTGCCACCTACCTGTCCTGTGCAAATGCTAGCTGTTAATTGTGACTATTATTATTATTAATGGCATAGCTAGTAAGTATCTGAACTCAGACTCAGACAAGTATTTGACCTCAGATCATCTTAACTTCCAGTTCAGTACTAGATCCAATACACCCAACTGAAGTACTGGAAGATTATTATTGGTAAAAAAACAAAAACAAAACAAAAAACAAAAACAAAATATGGGCTCTGTTCCAGCGAGAAGGCCTGGGTTGCTCTTAATTTACTTTAAAAACAACAACAATAATACAGTGTATGTATTCCATTTTTCTCTTAGCTCAGCATCACTTTGTATAGGTTTTTTCCATGTCATTTATCATTATTATTTATTATTATTATATGTCTGTCATTTCTAATGGTACAATAATATTCCATTACACTTCCATGACCCAATTTATCCAACCATTCCCTAGTCTCTGGTCTCAGTCCACATCCAAATACAGCTTCCTGTCCAACCACTGCTCACTCACAGATGCTCCTAGCTAAGCTCACAATGATCCATCTTCTATCCTGGGAAATTTGGAACTGGACTTAATTTAACTGCGCCCCCTCCCTAAGTCCTTCCTGGGACATTTTCATGAAAATATTTTGAGTCACTGCCCCATGAGGTATAGAGGATAGGTTTGCAAGCTACTCATCAAGGAAAGATGGGACCAATGTTTGGAGGAAGGGGAGTGATTTGTGAATTGATGATGATGATGATGACAACAATGATGATGGTGGTGATAGCTGACATTTAACAGTGCTTAGGATCCTAAAGAGTCTAGGGTCTCTTAACTTGTGGTTTATATCCTTAAATATATTTTGATAACTATTTTAATACAATCGGCATCCTTTGTAATCCTATGTATTTTATTTTATGCATTCAAAAACATGATTCTGAGAAGGGATCCATAGGTTTCATCAGACTGCCAAAGGGATTCATGACACAAAAAGGATTAAGAACTCCTTGATGTACATTATCTTATTATTATTTTTTTGGGTGAGGCAATTGGGGTTAAGTGACTTGCCCAGAGTCACACAGCTAGTGAGTATTACGTGTCTGAGGCCGGATTTGTACTCAGGTCCTCCTGAATCCAGGGCCGGTGCTCTATCCACTGTGTCACCTAGATGCCCTGTACATTATCTTATTTGATCCTTCCAACAATCTTGCAAGATAGCTGCTATTCATACTATTTTTCACCTTTTTTTCTTTTTTTTCCTTCTCTTGGTTTTTCCCTTTTGTTCTGATTCTTCTTTCACAGCATGACTAATGTGGAAATATGTTTAAGATGATTATACATGTATAATCTATATCAGATTGCTTGCCATCTTGGGGAAGGGGTAAGGGAGGGAGGGAGAAAAAAGTTTGGAACTCAAAATCTTATGAAAGTGAATGTTGAAAACTTTATGCGTAATTGGGAAAAAATAAAATACTATGAAAAAAACAAAAAAAATGATTTATAAGCAAAAGAAAAAAGATAGGTGCTATTATCTCCCTTTTACTGGTTTTACAAAAACCCTGAGGCTCATAGAGGTTAATGGATTTGCCCAAAGTTACCTAGTTATAGTGAATGCTCTATAGCCACCATCCCAGCTCTCCCTAGCACTGATGATTCAGGTTCCCAGAGCACATCTCCTTGAGGTTCTAGGGGTAGCCCTTGATGATTAGGGGTAGCTTGTCAGATGCTAGAGTTCATGAGTTCCCACCAGTGTACTTCTCACCATGATTATCAAATACTATCAATTCGCCAGCCAGACTTATTAGCTTTTAGAAAGGGGTATTTCCTTAAGGTGCTATAATAAGAATAGCTGGTGCAAAACAACCCTTTCTTCCCCCAGCCAACCCTCTAACACACTTTCCTATCGGTACATACAGAGTCCAGGGGGAAATGGGCTCAGACTAAAGGCACAGGTGGCAAAGAGGCTAACTTACGGCCTCTGGAAGTCTTTCTACTAGAGTTTTCCAGATGTATCCCTTAGGTAGGGTGCCAATTTTTTCCTGCTGGGATTTTTGCAGATCTTCCTTTCATCATCGCATCCAGTTTTGCTCCTGATGTAGACAGAGTTGCTTATCACTGCTGTCCTGGGAATAGTGCTAGGATGCCAATGAGAAGATGAAAAGTCCAAGATCTTCAAGACTTTTTGTAGTTCAGCAGGTCCTCCTTCAATCAAGGAGGGAGAAGAGACTGAGGCACTCCCTCCGCACCATCCTCCAAGGAATTCCTTTTCTTCACTCTCCTTTATGGTGGTAAATGCACAAATCTCTTGATTTCAATGAGCTTGATAGTTCTGTCCAGGTCCGTGAGGGTGTGACCAAGTCCCTCAAACAATCTGAACCTAGGGAAGCGTTCAGGCATTGCTTATACCTAGTAAACAATAAAGATAGGTCCTCGCCTGATAAAACACCAGGACTTTACATTGTTGACATTTAATTTATCTGATGGGATGATTTTATTGATTTATTCAATCAACTTCCACTCTTACATAGCTATTAAGTGTCAAAGGTGGGATTTGAACCCAAGTCTTCTTGACTTCCAATCTAGCATTCAACCCACTATGCCATGCTGAATGGAGAGGGACTTGAAAATTTCTGGGTATTATTGTGAAAATAGTTTTGACCTCAGGTTCTCAGAGTGTACTTTGAAACTTTTGCATCTACCACACTGATTCCAGAGCAGCTAGGTGGCATAGTGGATAGAGTGCCAAGCTTGGAGTCAGGAAGACTCATCATCTGCCCTCAGACATTTACTAGCTGTGGACCCTGGGCAAGTCACTTAATTCTGTTTGCCTCAGTTTCCTTGACTGTAAAATGAGCTGGAGAAGGAAATGGCACACCACTACAGTCTCTCCATAGCTCTTCTTATAGCTCACTGAGGGGTGGAGGTTCCTTCTGACTCTGTGGTCAATTACTTTTGCTATAACCCCAGCAAAGTGGGCCAAGGAACAAGTCATCGGGCCACTTATATCCTTTGGCCAGGGACCAGATCTTTCCTACAGATATGTCGTATAGAAAAGAACCAGAGTGCATGCCCAGCTTCATGAGATGTACTCCAGGCCACTTCAACTGCATTAACCATTGTCAAATTACTATTTATAAAACTTAATGTTGCTTGGAACCTTTGACCAAGGTTTCAAATGATGTCAAGAGATTCTAATTGCTACAATAGTGCAGGTCCCCAGCAAAGGGGATCAAAGTACGCCCCTGAAAGCTTAGCTACTCTTTAGTAGTAGAATGCAGAATACCAGGGAAATCATACTGACCTATGTTTATTTTCGAACTCTTTGGAAAACAACTGACAAGTGATGAATTTGAAGCTTCCTCTATAAAGAGCCTGACATCTACAAACCTCTGTGTGGCTGAGTTCATTTTACAGAATTGTTCTGAGCTGCCTTCAAGGCAAATAAGCCTGGGACAATATGCCCAGGGCAGTGGCACATTATACTCTGTGTGATCAGTAGGAAGGAAAGAAGGAACATCTGAGCCAAAGCTTACAAATAGTTCAGATAACTCCTTGGCTATTCACAGAACTTTAAACTGAGGCAAATTCTCCAGTGTCTGTAATAGATCTCATTGAAAGCCCAATTGTGTTCTCCATTTGGGCTCACAAGGGCAAAAAGCAAGGGTAACGGGCACCTTTCTGAACCTCATAGAACAAGATCATTCAGACCCCTAGGTGGGGGAAGTAGTAGGGGGTGGAGTGGAGGTAGGGTGAGCAAACCAACATTGCTGTTCAGGAAACAAAGAAGAAGCACCTTCAATTCAGACAGAGAGTTTGTGAGATGCTCAGATAGGACCAATTTTTGCTGTAGAACATACGGCATATGAGATGCCATATTTATACTGTTTTGCAAACCTTAAAGTGCTATATAAATACTATTACCTTAATAATTTTTAATATTACATTGTGAACTCAACAAACATTTACCACATGCAAGGTGAGACACAGTGGTGAAACCATTTGACTTGGAGTCAGGAAGACCTATGTTCAACTACCACCTCTAACACTTACTAGCAATGTGATTATGGGCAAATCTAACCTCTCTGAACCTCAGGCCACTCTCTAAACCTATGAGTTATAGGTGTTTGGGCTCTAAGGTTAGTCAAAGAAATTGTATCCAGGAAATCATAGCATCTGAACCCATTTACGTAGGTGCAAAACATAGGTGCTATCCCTGGTGCTGAGGACAGAAAGACAATGAATGAAACAGATCATGGCCTTCAAGAAGCTTAGATTCTATTGGAGGATACAAGATAAACCAATATATGAAAACACAATGTAATTCAAAGAGGAAAAGAAAAACTGGGCATGGGAGGAGGGGTCAAGAATGGCAGGAGGTAGCATCTGAGCAGGACTTTGAAGGAAGATAATGATTCAAAGATGATGAAGATGATGAAACATATTCTGGCATGAGGAAATAAGATAAAAGTATGGAAAGTAGGCAGGAGACAGAATAGTCAGTCTAGACAATAGCTAGCAATCCGCTTTGGCAGAAACATGCAAAATGCTATGATGAATAAAGGGAAATAATTTTGTAAAAGCATGAGGAAGAGAAGTTGTGGAGGTCTTGTATTGTATTCTATTTTCAATAGCAACCTCCTGACATTTTTCATAGGATTGAGAGCTGGAAGGGACTTTAGAGATCATTTGTCCAGGGATTCTTAATTTGGAGTCAAAGGATTTGTTCTTTTAATATTTTGATTACTGTATTTCAACATAACTGACTTACCTTGCACTCAGTAGCACCATGGACAGTGTGCTGGGCTGGTGTCAGGAAGATCTGGGTTCAGATCCAGCCTCAAACACTTACTAGCTATGTTGTTCATTCATTCAGTCGTGTCTGACTCTTTGTGACCCCGTAGAGGGTCTTCTTGGCATACCAGCTATGTGATCCTGGGCAAATCACTTAGCCCCTTGTCTATGTCAGTTTCCTCAACTATAAACTGGGGGGGGGGGTCACAATAGCACCCATCTCACAGGGTTGTTGTGAGGATTAAGTGGGATAAAATTTGTAAAGCACTTGGGACAACTCCCAGCATATAGGCACTTAATAAATAAATGTTTATTCCCTTTCCTTCCCCAGTCTTACACATTCTGTATTTTATTTTATGCATTTTAAAATATTCTGAGAAGGGATCCACAGATTTCACCAGACTGCCAAAGGGATTCATGCCACAAAAAGTCAAGAATCTCTGTTCCAACTCCTTCATTTTAAAGATGAGGAAACTGTAGCTCAGAGAGAAGGGTGAATGACTTGCCCAAAGTTACATAGGTAGTTTGGGATTGTGGATCTAAAGATCTATGGAACTCAGAGGCCAGTTAGTCCAAACTCTTCTTTTGCATATGAGGAAACTGAGGTTCAGAGAGGTCAGACTTATTCCAGGCAGTAAGCAACAGAGGCAAGATTTGAATGAACCCACCATTCTCCCTCCCACCTCATTGTTCATGATTTTCTCCTTACATGGAACAATCAAATATCTCTGCTACTTGTTCAAGTCCTATCTATTCTTCCAGACCCTCTGACTCCAGAGGGTTAAGGTTAGGGTTGTTTCTATTTACTATGCTGAACTCAGGTCCTCTGACTGAAAATGCTCTTTCCACTACCCAGTTCCATTTTTTTCCACTCTACCCACTATAGAGAAATGGAGAACACTAATTCTTAAGTACAGTTTCAGCATTCAAAACCAACTCAGTCTATAGGCCCCTTTTAAACCACATTTCACCAAACATTAGAGCTGGAAGTGGCTTTAGAGATTCAGCCCCCTCATTGCACAGACAGAGAAACTGGCTCCATTCCTTATAAAGTAATATTTCTTACAGTGAGAGAGTAGCCAAGTCTTTTGCAGTGTGTCATTAAAACAATCATACTTTTAGATAGAAAAAAAAGGAGTGTTAGGACCTCTCCCTACTCAATTGACTCCCCTGAAAAAGAATGCAAGCATTTTGTTGTAATAAAATAGATGTAATACAAGCACCGGGCACAGATTGTGTCTCAGGGCAGAGCAGCTGACACACGATCATTTGGTGTTAGTGAGCTGGGAAGAGAAAGCATTTGTATGACTCTACAATGGAGAAAAGCCAAAGCTGAGGTCGCTACTGTTCTTCTTTAAAAGAAAAAAAAAGGCCAGAAAACATTTCTGTTGTGGCAATGAAGAAGCCATCTCGTTCACACGCTCATTACTAGGATTGCTTTTCATTAATTAGCTAACAACAGATTCATGAAAATAATTCAGACAAAACCCCTTTGGCTAGGGTCTTTCATGATGATGTCATGGACTATTCAAAAGCCAATGCTCTTAATTTACTCGGGGTGCTCTTCTCGGACCCTAAGGACTCCAGGTCCCAGGATTGCCTGAGAGAGAGAAACTTGGACAAAGAGGAGAATGGAATATGTCTTGCAGAGTGGCTTTCAGCATTTCCAACTCACTGCCACTTAAGGCTCTCTTACCTGGACCTTTATATAATTACTTTGTAACTCAGGTCTCTTCCACAGATGTGAGATTGCGAACACGAAACACAGATATTGAAGTCACTCCCTGCCCCCAACTCTCTCATTTACCACGGACCTGGTCCTGTCTGAACTCTCTCTTCTTTTGACAAGGACAACTCTGGGTTATCTGTCTCATGTCTCTCTCTCTCCTTCTCTCTCTCTTTCTGTCTGTCTTGATTTCTGTTTCTCCCTGTGTCTGCCTGTCTTCTCTTCCCTTTCTCTTCTCTCTCTCAAAAAAAATCCTCTTGTTTATACATTACTTATATTTTTCTTCCTCTCCCTCTCCAAAAAATCAGCTTTCTAAAATAATTAATTTTTAAAATAGGAAGAAAGAAAAAACTCTATAAAACTAACCAATTTATCAAAAAAGTCTGACGTTATATGCAGTTTTCTACACTCATGTTCCCCCTAACTCCCATCCAAACACTTCCAAAGGAAGCAGAAGCAGGTATTTTCTTAAATATCTTCTTTGGAGGTTAAGCTTGGCAGGCAGTTATGTGGTGCATTGGGTAGAGCACTGGACCTGGCATCAGAAATATGAGTTGAAATCTGGCCTCAGATACTTGTGTGACCTTGGGCTAGTCACTTAACCTTTGTTTGCCTCAGTTTTCTCATATATAAAATGAGGATAATGACAAATGAGATATTTGTTAAGCTCTTAGCATAGTGCCTAGCACAGGGTAGGTGCTATATAAATGCTAGTTATTATAATAATGTTATTAAGCTTGGTCTCACCATTCAGTTCCAATTGTTTTGTTAATGAAGTTCTTTCTACTTACCTGTTGTAGTTGTTGTGTATGGGGCTCTCCTAGTTCTACTTTCTTCACTTTGCTTCAGTTCATATAAATCTTTTCATGCTTCTCCAATACAGGTGTCTTGTTCCATCACTTCTTAACTTCATGACCGGGGACAAATCACTTAATAGAGTCTCATATTCTTCATCTGTAAAGAAAAAACAAGGTAATATTACTTATTCAACCTGCCTAGAGAGGAAGCATGATATAGTGAATAGAGAGAATTGAGCTTTAAATGAAAAAGCCTTGGTTCAAGCCCTGCCTCTGAAACATGCAGACTGTGTGGCCGCAGGTAAATCACTTACCTTCTTGATGGTCCAGGAATCTCTCTAAGTCTCTAACATACTGACAAATTGTTGATCTTCATTGGTAGAGGGAGTTTCCGCACACTGAGTTCTTCATATGGAGGATATTACAGATCCAGATCAAAAAACTCCCTGTCTTGAGGGATAGTTCTGAGGAGAGAGCATTGCAAACCTTACCATGCTATAGAATTGTGAGTTATTATTCCATTGCCCCCTCCCATCATTCTGAGCCAGTTGTGGGCCCTTTACCTTCTGTACTTTTCAGACAATAATACCATGTCTAGGTATCCCCTCCTCCAGACTCTTAATCAGCAAGGCTAGGAGCACAAAGGAGAGATGAGGTAATTATAATAACAACTTATAATTGTAGTAGCTTGCATTTATGCATAGACCTACTATGTGTCAGGCACTGTGCTAAGCATTTTGCAATTATTATTCCATCTGATTCTCACAACAATCCTGGGAGATAGGTGCTGTTACTAACCTCATTTTATAGATGAGGAAACTGAAGCAAACAGAGGTTAAATGACTTGCCCAAGGTCATACAACTGGAGGCTGGATTTAAACTCTTTCTGACTCTATGCCTGGAGCTCTATCTATTATGCCACTTACTTGCTTGGGAAAGCAAGGGCTAGAGCATGGGCAAATCTCCTAAAGTAAGCATGGTCAAGAGCACAAAGGAGAGAGATAAGGGAAGGAGAGAGCTGGAGAAGGGTCAGCTCTCCTAAAGTCTCCCCAATATCTTGGGAGAACTGCTACCAGAGTTGGCATAAACACCACTTGGATTATTTCCCCTGGTTAATCATTCATAGGCACTGATTCATGGAAAGAAGGTCCAGTCACATTTCTGCCTGGCTTCACATAATTAAAGATGGGAAGTTCCTGTTTGAGGTGTTCCACACATGTTATGATCTTTGACTGACAAGCCTGAAAGGTAGAAATACCGGACTACAGCACCAGTTCCCACAGACATTCATGTGATGGGAAGCTGGCAAGGCATTTAACCTTTGTCCTTCTTTCTCCTGTGCCTCTTCACTGGGGTGCTGTGGGGATCAGTGCTTGGTGCTGTGGGTGTGGGACATACCTCTGATGGCTGTAGAAGGGATTCACCTTGTAATCTGGTGGCTTCATTCAGAAAATGTCTAGGTGGAGGGTGGAGCCAAGATGGTGGAGGGAAAGCAGTGACTTGCTTGAACTCTCCCCCACACCCCTCCAAATACCTAAAAAAATGGCTCTAAACAAATTCTAAAGCAGCAGAATTCACAAAAAGACAGAGTGAAACAAATTTCCAGCCAAAGACAGCCTGGATGGTTGATCCGAAAGGTATATCGCGCCGGGTGGGGAGAGGAGCGCAGGTCAACGTGGGTGCGCAGGCCACAGCAACCCTGGAGCAGGCCTCAGAGGACTGAATTGCTGTCAGCTGTGGTGGTTTCCAGACTTCTCAACCCACCAACGCCAAAGACAACTTAGAAGGTTAGTGGGAAAAGTCTGTGACTGCGGTGGAGAGGAGCTAGGTCTCAGCCACAAGTCTCGAGTGAGGCCCGGAGCCACGACTTTTTCCTGAGCTTCCAGACCACAGACTGAGTGGCTGATCAGAGGAGGACTGCAGGAATCTCTTTGCCAGTGCTGAGGCAGGAATCTCTTGCTTTACCGGTGCTTGGATCTGGGTCACAGTTCTGAGGAGCGATCCTCAACGCTGGTGCGGTGGAGCTTGTTGTGGCGGTGGAGAGAAAACACCTTGCTCTTTATCATAGCACCTTGGAAGAAGTGAAAATTTTCAGATCCCTAGAAGTACCTCTGGAAACAGCTGTACAAACCCCTGAAGCTTGGGACAGTACACTCTTCACATTGGAAGCAGACTTTTACCTTAACAAAGAGTTTAAAACAGAAACTGTCTAGGCAACGTTTCCTACAAAGTCCCAAGCTGCCAGTGTCCTTAACCCTTACCCTTCTAAGCCCTCTGGGAATCCATTTACCCATCTCTAGGAGTCACGGACTGGAAACAAGCAAAGGCTTGCTTTCGCATGTCTGAAAAATGTTATACTTTGTCTTTCGACTTTACACGTAGACCTAATGATAGGATTCACTATGAAATAAATGATTCAATTCATCAACAGATATTTATTATTTACCTATTACATGTAAGACACAGGAGAACAAAGAAAAAATAGATCAGTTCCTGCCCTCGAGGAGCTTACACATTGCTGGAGGAGAGAAAGAGGAATAAGACATGTACACAAATAAGTAGACATAAAGAATATAGAAAGTAATATGAAATAATTTTAAGAGGAAGAAAACAATGACAACCGATGGGAATTAGGAAAAGACCCATGTAAGAGGTGAGCCTGGAGCTGGGTTTTTAAGGGAGCAAGGTGTCCAAAATGACAAAGATGAGATCTATGCATTGCAGGTATGGTTACCTGTACAAGGGCATCCTGGTAGATATGTTGTGTACAGGGAACAGCTAGTAGGCCAATTGACTAAAACAGAGAACGTGCAAAGGTGAAAAAATGTGAAATAAGAATAGAAAGGTAGGTGAGAGCCAAATAATCAAGGGCTTTAGATTGATTTATGCTTTAGCAGGAGATGGGATCATAGAATTTCTGAGCTAATAGAAATCTCCATGGTCATATTGTACAAGTCCTACCTGAAACTGGGACTCTTGCTAAAGCATGTCTTTAAATGTCAGAAAGAAAGATGTTCTGAATGCGGAATATTTGAACAGGTAATCTAGAAAATGGGACCTATGTTCTTCCTTGGAGATACCTACAAATAAAAAGACACATTTAGAGCCACAAATGCATTTAACAGATGAGAAAACTGAGGTCCAGAGAAGGTAACTTACCCAAAGCTATACAGTCAATAATTTGCAGAGCTGACAACTAGAACCCAAATATTCAAGATGCTACCCATGAAATCCCTTCTATTTTGGTGTCCCTAAATTTGTTAGACCTACACATGGATGATTTCATCCAATTAGGAGCCAAATTGCTATCTCTTTGAAATAAAATATCCCTTTTTAAAAGCTAATTGTTGTTAAATGGTTTAATGGGCCTGGGGTGCTAGTAACTTCCCTTCCCAGTTTGCTCACCCTTGAGCAAATGAAATGGCTGTAACTTAAGACAATGTTAGAGAAAAGAAACCCACACACTCCTCAAGGTAACCTAACCCCCTAAGGGGGGATGTAGAGAATCTGGCCCTGAGTGGTCCCAGAGATACATACTAATTATGTACCCCAAATGGGAGACAGTAGGGCTTAAAATGTATATTGTTACTGTTCATATGTTTCATTGGTCATTTATCAAATCCTTTTCTATGTTATAAGCTATCTTATTTTTTTACATCTAAGTGTCATATCAACTAGGCTATGAATCCCTTGCATGCAGAGATTTTGTTGGAGCAATCTCTGTATTCCCCATTCTGCCTAGCATGGGACCTTACACATAATAGACATTTAATAATTATTTGCTACTCTAATTTTTCCTGCTACAGTCATTAGTTTTCATGAGCTGTTTGGTGCTGCAGACAAACCAATGAATATTATCCGGAGATTGCTTCTGGCCTTGGGACTCTGATACTGAGAAAGCAAACTCTTCTATCCTCAGCTCAAAAAAGTGTTCAAACCAAAACAATGGTAATAATGGTTTCCTTCGATAAAAGTTGAAAATTGCGAAAAAGAGACCAGGGTGATAGGGCATGTCTATAATCCTTAGTACCAAGGCTTATGGATCACTTGAGTTAGGAGTTCTAAATAGGAGCTGCAATAGGGGTAGAGATAACTGACTGCCACACTATGTCTACGTGAGCCCCTGGGAAGAGAGGGCCAACAGATGAATGAACCAGTCCAGGTCAGAAAAGCAGAGCAGTTTAAAGCTTCCATGCCAATTAACATTGGGATCAGGCCATTAGTGGCTGCTGCTCTTCCAGTCCTGGTAAGATTGAGAGACAGTCTAAAAAAAAAGTGAAAATAGTGACAATTCAATCCCACTTGAATGCTAGAAAACTCATTATAATGACCATCCTCTCCACAAAAGAGCCAAGAGTGTGATAAGCAGGAACATGGTAATGGTGACAAACAGGTGTCTTCCTATGGCCTGTGCTTGTGCCAGAACAGCTAGAAGGATATATTAGAATACTTCTCTCTGATTGACCAACATTAGCAGGATAATAGCAGGAATAGTGAAGGGACCAGAAGACAGTAGTCATCCCGATCAATTTTGGCCACATCTGCATAAAAATAACAGAGAATAAAGGACCCACGATGATCAGAGCAAAAATGCCTCTGCAGGTTGTTTATCCTAATGGATGGGTCTAAGTATCTGGATTGGTCCTTAATGAAAAGCAGAAGTTAGTGGGCAGCAGGGGAAAATGTGTAGAATTCCCCTGGGCAATCATGCAACAAATGGGAGGAGGGAGGAGAGGGATAGGTGAAGTGGCTAGTGGCAAGACTAAAGCACAACAGATGGGCGGCCTGACTTAGAGACGAGATACTGCAGCACCTGCTGAGCTCAGCCTTAGCACAGCTAACAACCCAGAGGTACAAGCCAAGGATCTGGTTATTTAGATGGAAATTGCATCGGGGGACCACGTGACCATCAGTTCTGATATTCAGTGCACCCACCTTCAACTGACTCAAATAAGTTGTAGAGTGGCAGGGGTTTTCTCTGAAATCCTATTGCTTTTGGGGACTGCTATCAAAGACCCAATCCAGGGATGCTTTTAGCTTGCATGGCCAGGTCACACCAGTGAGGCAGCCACTTGTATGTACTAGTTAATCTGTCCAGAGATCCAGGATAGGACATCAGCGAGAAAGAATAAGGGCCAAGGGAAGATAACCTCTGAGGCGAAGGGAGTAAACATCCCCGCTTTTGCAAACCTTGGCAGTCATTCAATCACTCGATCAGCAAGTATTTATTAAGCTCCTGCAATGTGCCAGGCACTGGGTTGTGTGCTGGAGATACAAAGACAAAAGTGAAGTCATACCTGCTCTCAAGGGGCTTCCAGTCTATTGGGAGGGGGGGAGGAACGAGAACATGTACATATTCGTGCAAAATAAATACAAGGTAATTTTGGAGGGAGGGGAAGGAGGAAATACTGGAAGCTGAGGGACCCAGGAAGGCCTCATGTAGGAGGTGGCATCTGAGCTGAGCTTTGAAAGAAACTACAGATTCTAAGAAGTAAACGTGAGGGGGAGTTCATTCTGGGAATAAGGGACAGCCCGTGCAACGTTTTGTAGATGGAAAGTGGAATATCAGGTGTGAGGAACTTCAGGACAGCCACTTTGGCTGGACCCCAGAGGGAGTGAAGGGAAGTAATTTATAACGTCTGGAAAAGAAACTTGGAGCCAGGCTAGAAAGGGCTTTGGGATTCCAAAGGGAAACGTTTGTATTTGATTCCAGAGGTAACAGGGAGCCGCTAGAGTTTATTGAATGGAGGAGTGACAAGGTCAGACCTATGTTTAGGAATTTCACTTTGGCAAAGATGTGGAGGTTGCATTGGAGACGGGAAGAAACAGGAGGCAGGAAGACCAATTAAAAGGCTATTGTAACAGTCCCAGGGAGAGGTGACTAGGGCCTGACCTAGGCTGGCAATCATGTGAATAGAGAGAAAGGGAAAGATGCAAGAGATGCTGTGGACGTAGAATCCACAAGACTTGGCAACCTACAGTATTTGAGCGCTAAGCCGGAGAGAGAAGTCCGAGGCTGTGGATCCAGGTATGGGCTCAGGCCCTTCCAGCCTCCTGGTCTTCCCCTCTGCCCTGCTAGGGGAAAATATTTGCCCACCGGGCTCTGCAAGCCGACTAATTTCAGGCATACACCTGTTGCTTCCACGCAGTTTCCCTCTCGTTTTTTCTCCCCCAAACTTGGCTCTTGTCCCAGAAAGGACCGCGGCAAGCAAAGCAGCGCGTGAATCACGGGAGGAAGGGGAGACAAACGAGCTCGAGAGCAGAGCAGAAAGCCGCCAACAGGGTCGGGCCCAGGCCAGGCTCTCGCTGCGGCTGCCACTGCCGCAGCCTGCTCGGGGCAGCTCTCCCGGGAAGGGGGAGGAGTCACGCGGGGAGGAGCAAAACTCGGAGGCCCTGAGAGCTTAGTGGCAGAGGGAGAGCGGCAGGGCTCGGGACCCATGGAGTCGCCCTAGGGGCGCCAGAGGCCGTACCAGAACTAGACCGAGAGCAGCTCAGAAGAGCGGTCCTTCCTTCCCACCCCCACCAGGAGCCCGCCCCAGCCGGACTCGTTAGCTCCACCCCGGAGGCGCAGGTCTGGCCAAAGCAACTTTGGGGAGAGTTTATGCGGAGCGCGCTGGGAGACAGGGGAAGAGTTGAAGCCCGGGCAGGGGTGGGTTCCATTCACCCTGGCCGGGCTGCGGGGCTGCAGCAGCGGGGCCAGGCTCCCCGGGCCGCCCCTGACCCTTCCCTCTCCAGACCTCGGGTGCTGGGGGCCAGGGACTCTCGGTTCGCCGCGCCCAGACGTCTTAGGGAGGCGGCAAGCGGCGCAAGCAGGCGCGATTCGGGTGCACGATGGAGCCGCCCGAGGAGAAGATCTCGGTGTGGATCTGCCAAGAAGAGAAGATCGTCTCTGGCCTCTCCCGCCGCACCACTTGCTCCGACGTGGTCCGGGTGCTCCTGGAGGACAGCCGCCAGAGGCGGCAGCAGCAGCAACCTCAGCGGCGGCGGCGGCTACGGCGGGCACGAGGAGAGGGAGGCGGAGAGGGAGAAGGAGACCCGCGGGGAGGGGAGCCGCAAGAGCCAGAGGAGGACGAGGAGGAGGCACCGGCGCAGGGCATGCTCTGGGGGCCCCCTCAGTGCTACTGCATCGTGGAGAAGTGGCGGGGCTTTGAGCGGATCCTGCCTAACAAGACGCGCATCTTGCGCCTCTGGGCCGCCTGGGGAGATGAGCAGGAGAACGTGCGCTTCGTCCTGGTGCCCAGCGAGGCGTCTCTGCCCAACGCGGGGCCCCGCAGCGCCGAGGCCCGGGTAGTGCTCAGCAAGGACAGCCCGTGCTCTGGCCGGGGGTGCCCAGCCCGGCCCAGCCGGGCCTTGACCCAGGAGAAACAGCGGCGTGTGGTGCGCAAGGCTTTCCGCAAACTGGCCAAGATCAATCGGCGGCGCCAGCAGCAGCCATCGTCCCCTTGCTCATCCTCGTCTACTTCGTCCTCCACAGCCTCGTCGTCTTCCTCCCCACTGACCCGGGACAGCGCTTCAGGCGAGCGGATGGAGACCCTAGTGCACTTGGTGCTGTCCCAGGACCACACTATCCGCCAGCAGGTGCAACGGCTCCGAGAGCTGGATGGGGAAATCGACCGCTACGAGGCCAAAGTGCACTTAGACCGTATGAGGCGGCACGGCGTGAACTATGTGCAGGACACTTACCTGGTGGGGGCCGTCGCTGAGCTGGACGGGTCCGGGACCCTGAAGAAGGGCACTGACGAGGAACCGCCTGCTAGCAACGAAGGGGGCCCCGAGGCTGCGGCGCTCGCGGAGTACGCCCGTCGGTGCGACCAGATGCTGCAGCTTCAGGAGCAGCGAGCTCAGCAGGAGGAGCTGCTGGAGCGCGTGGCAGCTGAGATACAGGAGGAACTGAACCAGAGATGGATGCGGCGGCGCCAGGAGGAGCTCTCGGGGCAGCCGGGCCCGGACGGCGAAGGCAGCCCCGAGGGCGAGCTCCTGCTGGAGCAGGAGAGGCTGAAGACGCAGCTCAGCACCAGCCTCTACATCGGCCTGAGGCTCAGCACGGACCTAGAGGCGGTCAAGAGCGACCTGGACTACAGCCAACAGCAGTGGGAACTCAAGGAAAGGGAGTTGCAGAGCCTTTTAGAGACTTTGGACTCCTTAGACTTCATGCCGAGCCCGGACGGGGCCGGGGAGCCTGGTTCCGGAGCTCCAGGCCAAGGAGAGGGCGAGGCACGGGCCGATGAGGAGGCAGCAGCCGCTGGCCCGGGACCCGGCCCTGGCCCCGAGGTGTGGGTGGACCAGGCCCGGGGTCTGGCCAAAGGCTGCCAGGGCAACGATGAAGACTCGGACACGGGGTTGAGCTCCATGCACAGTCAGGACTCAGACTCTGTCCCAGTCTGTGAGTCTCTCGTGTAGGAGAAAAGATAGGAGGGAAGGTAGGAAGAAAGTGGTTTGGTCACCAAAAGCTCGAGCCAGCTCAGGGATCCCATGGGGTGGTAGGAGTACCTCGCCCTGCTGCAGCCCCTTCCACCATGCCTAGTGGGGTGTGTGCTGAGGGGGCATCCTCACAGTTTGGGCTAGGAAGGGCCAGATAAAGGACAGCTCTTTTTAAAAGGTTGGTTTTGTACCCAACTCAAACTTCAGCTGCAGAAGAGGGGAGTGGGGGTAGGAAGGACATGCGTCTGACTGAGGAACCTTGGGTCCCAAGGGAAATGGTCCAGGCCCATTTTCAAATGAGTATTATGTGGATTTCACTAAGTTTCATTATGGTGAAGTCTTTAAATGGCATTTCTGGAAACAGTGACAATTGGAATACCAGTTTGGGGCATTAGGTACTTTGGTTGGCAAAGAAATTCCTTGAATTTTAATTGTAGCTCTAACTTGTTAAAACTAGCCAAAGAAGAGGCATTTGTGTTCGTCTCAGCCTTACGTCCCAGAGAAAACACACAGTCCTGGCTATTAACATTTTCAGCTGACACTAGACTTACCCATGTCCTGCATTTTTGGCCCTTTTATTTCACTTCTGAGGCTGGACTAAAACCTCAGTTCTTTCACTCCAGAGTTCATACAGTGCATTCCAGCAGGATCTGAGATATAAAATCCTGGAAAGCCCGACTATGTTTAAAATTTAATGGGGAAGCTTTGAGATTTGCTCTTGCAAAGTCAAATATGTTGTCCTTTTGCAATTCATCATGCTACTTCCATTCAGTTACATTCCACTAGTCTTTCTTAAGCACCTACTATGTGCCAGGCACTGTGCTAGGCTCTTAGGGGTATGAAAAATAAACCAGTTCCTGTCCCCAAGGTCATGAATTTAGCTGCTGCTATTTCAGGAAAAATTAGAGTGAAGCTGGAGAAACTAAGGGAAGTTGTGTATTAAGGAATGAGCTATCTGATTTACAGTTCAAACTCAGACTTTAAAAGTCTCCTGACATTTATGAGTACATACCTGTATTTCTTTTGAAATGAGCAGTGCCTGAAAGCCAACCTGAACTCAACATCTCACCCTAAACCCCAGAAAATGTGTCTTTTACCTGCCAGAGGCTTAACTGAGACATTGTAAATAACAGTATTTGCTAGCTAAGGTTTCAGAAATTGTTGAATGTAACCACTTCTCTCAATATTTCTCTAACAGGCTGTTTGATTAACAACCATAGTCAGTCAAGGATAAAGGTATTTTTGTTTTAAAGTGAGTTAACTGGAATGACTCTGAGTTCTGGACAGCTTATGCACACACGCCTAGAGATAAAAGTATAACAGCTTTTCAAAACCGGTTTCCAAAGCACCAGCGGACTCAGTGTAACCTTTCTAGTTATTTCAATAAAAAAAAACCCCCACAACTTATCAGCTATAGCTTATTTGTCGCCTCTTTTGAATGAATCAGGCAGCCTGATTTCCTTTGGAAGCTGGGCACTTCCTGGAGATATCATCAGGCCCCCGAATGAGGTATAAACAATGGTGAGTGTGGGGTGCCAGTCTTGGGCAGGCACTATTACTGTTATCAGCTTAAATGTTCAGATTGGGTTTGGTTGCAGCAGGGCTTTACCCATTTTTTAAGCTAATTTATGAAACCAGGCTTCATAGAGAAGTTTCTCCTTTAATTGCTAGAATCTTAAACTGGGTTGAGTTTTTGCAGACCAGAAAGCATGCCGCTGTTTAATCGGTTTTCTGTGTGTCAACATATTTCTTCTACCCCATTGTTGATGCAGGGATGTTTTGAGATTTTTGAGTAAAATGATAGAGAATTAAGAGGTTCTCTTCATAATTGATACTTTTAGAAGAAACTTACATATAATTATGGTCTTGTGTTTTCAGACTGCACTTTTCTTCCTAAGCGTAGTTAAAATGAAGAAGGCGCAAAAAAAGAAGCCTCAGTGTCCCCAGACTACAATGTAATCACATGCATACAGACCAAACCTAATGATAGCGTTGACAGGAAAGCAGGGAATATACAATCCTTATTTACAGTTTAGCAAAAAATCCTGTCTGAGAGGTGTACACAGAGATGAGTCTGACTTAGTAAGGGGTGGGTTTTTTTTTTTCGTTTGGTTGGTTAGGTTTTTTTGTTTGTTTGTTTTTGTAGATGCTGAATCTTTGATTTCATTGGTACAGGGAATTCCCAGGGAAGGAAACTCTTCTATCAACTATCCTCCCTCCCACCCACCCGCCAATTTATGATGTTAGGAAGTTACAGAGCAGCTAAATGGCTTGCCCAAGGTCACATAGACAGTATGTGTCCTCGGCGGGAGTTGAACCCAAGTCTTTGTAGCTCTGAGGTTAGCATTCTATCCACTATACCATATTACCTTTTTTTTTGTTTTCCTAAGATCATAAATTTTAGAGCTGGAAGGTATGTCAGAAATATTCTAGTCCAACACCCTCATTTTACATATATACAAACTAGGATCCAGAGAGAGGTTAACAGACTTACCTAAGGTCACTAAGATCATAATGAAATTGGAATTTGAACTCAAGTCTTTTGACAACAAAACCCAACCCTATGATGCCATTGTTTGGGGCGGGGTTATGAGGAGTGGGAGGAAGTTGTAATGGTTCTCAGCCCTCTGGCTGATGCCAGTGGCCAGGAGAAGTAGGAGATAGTTGCGACATAGAAAATAAGCACTTTCCCTTTCAGTTGTTGTTTTAACCTTTATAGGCCTACGGCTGTTGAAGCAAGCAAATGGAAGTGATTTTTTTTTGCCAGAAGCCAATAAAACAAACAGACCATGTCACAATGATAAGCCCTGTGTGTGCTCCACAGGCACCTGAGGACTGCTCCAAGACAAAGGGCCCCTAGAGTGGAGCAGGTTGGGACAGGGGACCCTTAGGTTGGTAACAATGAGCAACCCACCCTTCCTGATGAGGCCTTCCTCAGTGAGGTTTCCCCTATGCGGGCAGGAAGTGTGGGAGCAAAGGTAGGCGTCCAGGAGATAGCCCACAGTGGGGCCAACAGTTCCCCTTAAATGAGCACCCTGGTACTTAGCCAGCTACAGCTACTTCACCAGCTCTTCCAATTCCTAGGAAAGTGACCGGGCCTCTGGGACAAAGGATGCTGGTGTTCTCACTCTCCTCTTGGCTCTCTCTCTCTCTCTCTTTTTTTTTTTTTAGGGACAGGGTAATTCTAGGAGCAAGAGCACAGCTGTGATACTGCTCTGGGAGGACATTAAGAGATCAGGTTTTCTCCATCAGAAGGAAGGACAGCAGCAGCCCCTATTTATCAGTGTGCACACTCCCCATTTTGCTGGAGAAGGCAGCTTGTGGGTGTGCTACTTCCCTCACTGGCACTTTGCTCAAGCTGTCTTCCTACTTACACCAGGGGTTTTTATCCTGCTGGAAGGTTTCATTTCCATGACACCCTCCCCTTCACCCCCACGCCCACCTGAAATGCATGTGCATGTACACAGCTGTATAGTCATATGGGATCTATTCATTTTTTACACAAAGTAAATTAAAATTCGTTTTGCATTGAGAGTTTTGCAACAGCCCTCAGGGTAGCTTTTGATACACACCCTGTGGTATAAGAAAACATTTAGGGTTGGAAACAACTGAATTAGGCCTTCTTTGGAGCAGAATAATGGAAAGGTATGATCAGCTAGTGAGTAGTGCAAGTGTGTGCTGTTGTGTGATTGTGTGTGTGTGTGTGTGTGTGTATTTCTGTGTCTGTGAAAGGCCTTGGAAGGCTCCTAGTGGTGCCGCCATGATGGTTGGACAGTCTGTTGAAGCATTCTTGTGAATTGGGGCGGGGGGGGGGGGGGGAGCTGGGAGAACCTGGAGATCTTCCACCCTTTCCCGGTACTACCTCTCAGCTCCCAGCTAATGGAGAAATTGTCCCTGTTGGCCATCATGCCAATTGGCAAAGGGCTCAGCTCATTATCTCTCAGTAAGGAAGCAGCAAACATTTGCACATGGGCAAGATCAGGGATGAAAAAGAAAAACATGTCATTTATTTGAAGATTCATTCTGTATATTCCACGGCTTGGGTTTCACAGGTGGGTGGGGGGGCGAAGTATGCTAGGAGCTAAGTCCATGAAACATGTTTTATCTTTAATTGAATTTTCATTTTATTTTGTTCTCTGTTATGTAGAAACTTAAATAGCTGGTTGAGCAGTGGCTGGTTGGGTAGGGAACAAGGACCAGGCCTGGTAGTAGAAAGATCAGGGTTCAAATCCTGCCTCTGAGACATAGTAGTTGTGTGACCATGAGCAAGTAGGTCATTTGGGCTGCAGAGTCAGAGAACTTGGTTCTAATCTTGACTGGGATGCTTACTGCCTGTTTGGTGTTGAACAAGTTCTCCCTGGGACTCAGTTTCTTCATTTGTAAAAGGAGAGGGTAAAAAAGGTGAGGTCCCTTTCAGATGTAAAGCTCTAAGCCTTTGAACCCCTATGTGGCCCTGAGAGGTTCTTTTAAGTCCTTTCACAGGGCTTAACTTTTTTTTTTTGAGGCAATCAGGGTTAAGTGACTTGCCCAGGGTCATACAGTGACCTAAGTGCCTGAGGCTGGATTTGAACTCAGGTCTTCTTGACCCCAGGGCCTGTGTTCTATTCACTCAAGCTTAACTTTTAAACCTTAACTTTTAAACTTTAAATGCTTGACTGTGAATTGTGGTTCTGTATCTGTGGGATCTGCCATTATACCAATGAAATAACAGGTATGAATCATGGTTCCCTCCCCATCCCCTCCCCAATGCCTACTTAACTGCCCTTTTAGTAGTTGGTCTTCAGGACCCCCTCACATAATCTGGACAAGAGCAATTCATCAAACAATCGATCAACATTTTAAAAGCACCTACTATGTGTCAGGTACTTGGCTATAATGTCTCTTTTTAAAGTACTTATTCTTCTGGGGGTGAGTGGGCCTTTAAGTATGAGTGTTTTTTTTTCCTTTTATATTTCCATCAGCTCCCATATTACTTTTATCACACAGAGGAAGAGACTATCCCGTTGTTATCCCTAGAGCCGGAAGTCAACATGGAAGCAAAGAACTTTAGAGCTAGAAAGGACCTCAGAGGTTGCTCAGGTTACCTATTGGGAAACTGACCTGGAGGGGAGTGGGGGAAGACAGGAGGGAGGAAAGGAATAAGAATTTATAGAGCACCTACTACGTGCCAGGCACAGTTCTAAGTGCTTTACAAATATTATCTCATCTGATCCTCACAACGACTCTGAAAGGTAGATGTTATTATCCCCAGAGGAAACTGAAGCAAATAGGGCTCAAGTGACTCGCTCAGGGTCATAGAGCTAATAAATGTCTGAGGCCATATTTAAACTCAGATCTTCCTGCCAGGTCCCGTACTCTATTCACTGAGCCATCTAGCCACTCCAGAGGGGGCAAGGGACTCCCCTAAAGTCACACAGATAAGGAATTAGGAAGGGATAGAGAAGAGAAGGAAGACCTAAGTAAAGATCTGGGGAAAAGTAACTGAAAAACAACAGGTCAAACTTGCAAATTGGCCACGGCCCATTGGACAGTTGTCCATAGCTGCTGGAGTGCTGATGTTTTATTAACTTACTTTACACGGGAGATCTGGGCAGCCAGGTGGTGCAGTGGATAGAGTGTTGGGCCTAGAGCCAGGAAGACTTAATTTCCTGAGTTCAAATTCAACCTCAGACACCCGCTAGCTGGGTGACCCTGGGCAAGTCATGTTTCCCTGTTTGCCTCAGTTTCCTCATTTGCAAAATGAGCTTAAGAAGGAAATGGCAAACCAAGAAAACCTCAAATGGGGTCACAAAGAGTTGGACGTGACTGAAATGACTGAATAGCAGCAGCACAGAAATCACATTCAGACAAGAATATCTTCACAGATTAAATGAGGCAAAGGACATGGAGACAATACTGAGGGTAAGTGAGTCGGGGGCATCAGGGAGGCAACCAGCAAGTAACTCTCAATGGACAAATATGCAACAGAGCACAAACACAGAAAGATACTTTTATACTTACTCCCAACACTTTAAAATTTACTTTTATTAATTTCATTTAATGTTTCACAATGACATGTAAAAAATTAACAATCATTTTTTTTTAATTTTGAGTTCCAAATTCTCTCCCTCCAATTCCTCTGTCCTCTTTGAAAAGGCAAGCAAATTGATATAGATTATACATGTGAAGTCACACAAAACATTTCCATATTAGTCAGGTTGCAAAAGAAAATTCAAACAATATAAACCAATAACAGCAAAGTAAAAAAGGTATGCTTCAATCTGCATGCAGAGCTCATCAGCTCTTCACCCCCAGCACTTGTCCATGCAGAGTGGGTACTGAGACTGCGCTTTCCCATTTGGACCAGTTTCTCTCTGGTAATTCTGGGAAACTATGTCTCCAAGCTTTGGCTCCTGGACAATGAAATTAAAAACAAACTCAACTTAATTACAGCATAATTAGAAACCCTACACAGAAGTGGCAAGTACCCCTTTTGACATAATCTACAGGGCACTGTGGAGCTATGAGGCAGTCTGGGCTAATAGAAACAGCACTGGACTTGGAATCAGGAGATCTGATTTCGAGTCCTGCCATTCACTACGTGACCTTGAGCAAATCACCTAATGATAACAGCTGACATTTATGTAGTGTTTTAAGGTTGGCAAAGACCCTTATACACATTGTCTAATTTAAGTTTCATAAGAACCCTATTAAAAAAAAAAAAGAACCCTATGAGACTGGGATGTTAAATAGTGAAGTAGATAGAGCACTCAAGTCAAGAATAACTGAATTCAAATCCAACCTCAGACACAAACAAGCCATGTGACCCTGGGCAAGTCACTTAATCACCCGCCTGCCTCAGTTTTCCCAACTGTAAAGCGGGGATAATAATAGTTCCTACTTCCCAGGGTTGTTGTGAAGATCAAAAGAGATAACTGTAAAGTGCTCAGCACAGTGCCTGACACATAGCAGGCTTCATACAAATATTATTATTATTCGGTAGGTGGTGTTATTATCCCCAATTTATAGATGAGGAAACTGAGGCTTAAAGACATTAAGGGATTTCCTCTAAGTCACACAGTAAGTTTCTGAGGGAGGAT